GTCAGACCGTATGCCAAGGCAAAGTCATAAACAGATCTCCCCGCATGATCGGTTAAACGTGAACCGAGCTATTCGGCATGGTGGGCGTTAAAATCGCCAAGGATCACGATCTCTGCGGATGGGACCTGTTGTAGCAAGGAATCTGTAGCCATTTGGACGTGGTCGATGAGTCGGTCTGTTTCGGCATTACCGCTATGGGACCTATAGAGGCACCCGTAGACGCGCGGATGGTCGTCGCTGTCTACGCGTAGCCAAAGGATGGACAGGTCCGAATCTTCAATACTGCCGAGGCGTCGAGAACAGATGTCCTCTCTGACATACACGCAAACTCCAGCCCGAGGCACAAAGGAGTGCTCCAATTTGTACCCCGGGTAGGAGAGATACGAAATATCAGCCGGAGAGGAAACCTGCGTCTTAGTTAGAAAGAGCAAGGCCGGCTTCGCCGTCTCGAGATGGTAGTGGACGGCGTTTAGGTTAGAGTGAAGTCCCCTGATGTTGCAGAAATTCACGGATAGCGTGGCAGGGGTCGCCTTGGTATTGTTGCTCAGTTTGCCCCGAGCAGTTTTGTTTTTGAGCGGAATTTTGTCCCCCCCAGAATACGCGGGGCAGCCTGAGCACCCACGCTCAGGATTGGAATAACATGGTCGTGGATGCTCCGCGAGGGATTCTCCAGGGGTACTGGTACCCTCCTGGGGTAGTCTACTGTGTAATTCCGCTACCATGTTGATGGGTGGGGGGGGAATTGGGCCTCCGGCCACCTGCACTCACCAGACGAAACGCAGAAGCAGAGCCTCTACTTCACGCCGGTATTCTGTGAGGTCGTAGTACTAACCCGGCCCGAGCCGGCCCGTACGTGCAACAGCAAAAACTGCTGCGGGGCTCTACCACCGTTATTATATATCTATAATATTACTTTTAACTGATTAGTACTTAATGTTTAATTTAGAAATACCATTTAATTATTTTTATTATTTTATATTTTTAAATTTTTGTACAGCATAATATTGTGGTGGCAAGCTTTTGTTATGTATTAGATATCTGTGGAAACTTCATTGGTTTTTAGGATTACTTTTATATGTTTTATAATGTATTTTATTATTGTACTGTATGTTTCCCTTAAAAAGCAAATAAATAAAAAATAAAATAAAATAAATTTCGAAATATCTAAATGACTTGTATAAAATACGATATAACTAAACTAAACTTAAATATAACGCTAGTATAAAATAAGATTTTATCATTTATATTATTTATAAAATTTTAATGAGTAATAATCATATCTTATAAGTATAAAATACTATCAAAATTATATAATATGCCGCATGCCTCGAAACATTTTTATATTATTTAAGGTCTGAACACATATTATGTATATGAAAATTTACTTCCATGAAGCATTAAAATTGTATTTGAATAATTCACATTTGTAAACAAACATTCGGGGAACAGCGGTCCCTTTATGCTACGTAAGCCACGACTGTCTCTGAAACAACGTCAAAAATGTATGATACAATCTACTAAACCTTTTTTGCTCTGAGCCCAACTATTTTCCTTATATTTATAACTTGAATATTTCAAAATAAGTATGAAATAGAAAGTTCAATTAAATTATATTAATACGGAAAGTTGTAACATAAAAAATATACATTTCATTCTACGTGGTAGAGCCATGCTGCAGCTATATTATGGTTGTAGCACGAATAGGTCGGCTCGACCGGGGAGGACCAAGCCTTCACACAATACCAGCTTAATACCGCTGTGTTTCGTATGGCGAGTTCTATCTTAGTTCTCATGGGTGGCAGGCAACGCATCTGCATTTTGATTCTTAATCGAGGATAGATGTAGATGTTTATGGGCCACAGCATCCATTTACCATGTCCACACACGTGGACTGTGTGCTCGTTTGACACTCTTTTTCTTTTAAAAATGAATTAAAATCAAATTATGGACCGCATAAAAAGGCACTCAGTGGTTCTTCTTGTTTTATAGAACTGAAGTGACAAACATTCTTACAATCCACCTTATGGTAAATTGCTACAGCAGTCTATACACACCATACATGTTTCGCGGGTGGCTTGTTATGTCGGACTCGCACCGTCTAAAACTCGCTGCGCACAGACGCCCCCGTGTCCGATGCGCGAAAGCCATAGGGCCAGGATAACGAGCACTCAGAAGCACTAGCCTTCCTGACCCCAGCGGCGGGTCTTATCGATAGCTCCAAGATTCGGCTGCGGAGGGTAGGGAGTGCGGCCGAGGCGGCGGAGTGGGAAAGAGGAACCCGTTCGGGGGGGTCTATAAATACCTGCAATTAACTTCAAACAAAGATGGCGACAATTGCGTTGTCACCTATGAGGACTTAGATGGCATTCTCACAACCTTTAATTGTACTGGTTCTCTATATCCTTTAGATCGTAACACAGCAGTGGGTGATAGCTACCCAGAGGGTGGTACCTAAGTGAGACTCCTAGGCAGAAAATGAATCCTACCACCTAGTGAATCTAATCAGGGCATTCACGACTTTTTCTGTCACCAGGGCGGCGCCACTAGAAAGTGAGAATTGACAAATTTGATATTTGGCAAATTTCATAGCGGGGAAGTTAATTTGTTCGGAAAATGTAAAGGTTATTGTCTCTTTCTGCACTATTCGCTATATTTTATATTAATAATATTAAAAATAAATAAACCAAACCACAGATATTCATAAAACAGAAAAATTAAAAAAAGTTAAAAATGTACAAAAAAATTAAAGAGCAAACCACTTCGCTGTCCCGTGCACTACATATAGGTCATTGCTATTGTCTTACTATTGTGTCTGTAAACCGGACAGTTAAAGTGTTAATACTCAAGAAACTGATAAACTTTTATTAAAAACCAACTTCTCAATTAAATTACACTGTGTAACAAAAAACTATACCTCATCGTCAACTAGCGACATCTGGTGAGAAGAAAATTGTTAGCCCTCATTGGCAGCTTATTCACATTTTATACATAGTGTAAGCCAGTACTAAACTTCTATCCTACTTGTCCTAGTGGTGATGCAACCAAAGATAGTAAAGCACACTAGCTAACAACAAAATCCTATTCGGCTTTGCTTTGAAAACACTACTGTCCCATCCGATGATAAGCGGTGATGAAGCCGAAGTTGGTAAGACGCACTAACCTCTTACTCCTTACTCCTACTCTTGACTTGAAGACACCCACATTGTAATCGGATATATAAGACATGTATACCATATTATGTTTCAATTGTTCCTTAAGAATAAGATAAGGCATAAGATACCTCACTGCATTACCATCTTGTAACGAAATAAGGTAACGAAATCGGGTTAAATATATTGAATATTTCTTAGATATTTAAGAAACGTTATTTGGTTTTTATTTCAAAGAACAAGTGAGTTTGATTCACTCACTCATTCTATCAGATATTTTGATATTTTTCTGTTTCATTTATCTATTATTTACAGCCGAGAGGAAGAAGACCAGTGCTGATCATTGGACTTGCCCATAGATTGTCTCATAGGTGGATATTTACCATAGTTGCCATTGTTAGCAGGTGGATTGGCAACCGTATTTTTTATTAATTTGACTTATTAGAATCACGCTGAAGCCAATCTCCTGTTTCAGTTTCCTTCTGTCACCACTTGCTACACACACGAGATCTATCATTATACAATATGTAACAAAAACCCTTTGGTTCCCGTTGAGTACGTTATCAGGATCATTATTCAAACGTATAGAAATATTTTTTTTAAAACTCGAACAATATTTTTTTAATTCATTTTAAAAAATAACTGTATGCAAATTGTATGTGGTTTTATTACCTGTGCATTGTATGGGGAGTAAGATGATTGTCAAAGACCCCGCCTTACTTAGCTTTAGCATCGGCCAGTGTCAGTAAGAGGTAATAAAACCCACATAAAATTTAAAAAAATATGATCGAGTTTAAAAAAAAGTTATTTCTATAGGTTTGAATACTGATCCTGATAACGTACTTAACGGGAACCACAGGGTTTTGTTACTCGTACATGGTGTATATCTCGTGTGTGTGGCAAGAGGCGAGTGAATCCACTACCCCGTATCTCGCCTCGAGACTGCATAATGTCTGTTTATATCAAAATATTTATAAAATTTTAGTATTCATTTTATTGGTATATAAAATTTGATTGTAATAAATATAAATTAACACTAACTTATGACGCTTCTACTTCCAACAAAGCACTTTGGGTACTATATAGTTTTATATTTAGCTATGAATTCCTAGTTCGTTGCGAGTGACCTACATCTACTGAAAATACTGCATTTGATATATGCTATCCTGTTCTGCTCTATAAAGTTATTATGACAATATAATACGGATTTAGTATACGATACTATTACTCTTAGAATATTGGACATTGGGGCTACGTAACACTTGCAGATATGTGAAAATTTAATATTTTAACTGGATAATACTACTGTACAGAGTATAATATTGTTACGAGTTTGGGGTTCGAGACAATTTAAAACTGTCGAATGAATTACCAAAAGTGACACTTTAATTACAGAACACTAATTACAACATAAAACCACACTAATAGCAAAACACAATTGTACTACAGATCACTTTAGTTCGCAGTTATTTCGCATCGAAGTATTCGCTTGTATCGCCAATTTAATACTGCCTCGGTTGTGGTCTATACCGGTCTTATATAGGGCCTCAGATAGTTTCCAGAATCTTCTACTGTAGAAACATCTAGTGTGTTCGAGTAAATATCGGTCCCGAAATGTCTAGAAGGATCTTGACTCCCCCTAGTTCTGTTACTCGATACTAGAGGGCGCTAGTGGTAACTAGTGTCGTCGACGTAGTGGCGCGCAACAATACTATTCTAGTAATGTAATTTCTGATCTATTAGATAATAAAATGATAACCTCATGAAAAGTTTCATAAGGATGAGTCGTTTAAGTAACCAACTTTGTGGTTGTTTCAGTGAACTTAGAAGCATGACAACACAGACACTAAAATGGAGGTGAAAAAGCAAGAAAAACCTGGAAGCTTGTCGCCGAATAAACCAGCGTCAAAAAGAGAGAGCGACGATGACAAATGTTCCAGGTCAAACAGTAAGTCTGAAAAGGAACTCAAATTACCACCTGAAAAGTCACCAAGCGAAGATGGGAGCGTAAAAAGAGAAAGGCGTGCATCAAAGGCCAGTGATAGTTCAAAGGATACATTTGAAAGGTACAAACAAATCTTTCATTTTATCTTTAGTAAAAAGTAAAGCATAATATAACGCTACTAGGTATAGATATGTTTCACCGCTCAGACCTTTAATACGATTCAAGTGATAAGCGAAATAAGAGCAGACCTGATTGTAAGTGGCTACTGCAGCCCATGTAGGAGTAACAAACTTCAAGTAAAGAAGGCTACATATACGTTGTCACGACTGAGGATTAAGATGGAATACCTATTTGACTGTAATTATAACTGGCTGAATAAAACTACTTTTACAGATTTTTTGCGTTTAATTAACTTATTTATCTTATTTTATTAATTCCCGACGTTTCGGGTACTGTAAAGCACCCGTAACGCCGGAGAAAATCCGTAAAAGTAGTTTTATTCAATGTGTAGTGTTCGCGTAAATATAAGAAATCATTATATAACTGGCTGTCTATATCATTTAAACATAAAAACAGCAGTGCATACACTGATGTTTGGCGGCAAAAATAAATCAGAATAAGAAGAAATAGTGAGGCCTCATTCCTAAGAAGATTTTCGGGCAAACTAGATAGGGAGTTATGGTTCATCAGGGGCTAAGCGATTGCCGTAAATTTCACAATACGGGAGCAACCTTAGTTCAATCCCCGCCGACACTAATTAAATTATTAATTGAAATTTTAAGTTCGCATTTTCCACGTGATCGGTGGTGAAGTATAACATCATGAGGAAACCTGCTTAAATATTTTACCGATGATAATTCATTTCGATGAAAATCCACCAACACGCACAGGAGTCTACCCTCTCCGAAATAAGAGGTCTGAAGGCACGAATACAAACACATTAAAAATATACAAAGTTTAGAACCTATTTTTAATTTTTGACGTTTCGCGCTGGTATTCTGTGAGAGCGGGGTCCTTCTCCGGTCGAGGCGATCCATTCGTGCTACAATTATACAACTAATATAGCTGCAGTAGCTTTATCACGTACAACTGATATGCTCATAACGAACCATCATTCTCACACTAATAAGGCTACTGCCATCATTAGTCTCTAAAATTTGAAATTTACATTTTTAAATGAACGTTTGTTTTCGCAAATTTTTTGAAGTCCTACATTAGAGCTAAAGGCAGAAGTCAATAATCAGCAGGCAGCACTAGATGCAGATTAGGTTGTAATTTTGGGCAAAAATTACCCTTTTACCATTCCAAATACACTGTTGTCTGTAATATAGAAATAGTTGCTATATTATTGAGCTGAGGATGAGAGATTATATTTGCATGTCATTAATTCGTAAATAACCACTTTTTTAGTTTTTGTCTGTCTGTATATCTGCATGTACGATATATAGGCTATAATTGATCCGAAAAACTTGGACATTTAAAAAAACGAAATATATATAGAATAAATGGTTTTTGATTATCTTAAATGTAAATAACGCCACATTAATAGATCCTATCTAGGCGAAGACGAGTCTAGTCGCTGGTTATAATTATTATAAAAAAAAAATTAAAAATAATTCAAAAGACATTTGATAGACGTATAAAATTATTCACTTGACAATTTTCTTGACATTTAAAAGTTCAAGAACTTTAGCATAGAGCGTGTGAACTCTGCGTTGAATCAAGAAACCTTCTAAGGTTGATTGAAAAAGTTTAACGACTTACCGCTTTCTCAAACTTGCCTCCAATTTCAAAAATGTCAACCAATATTGAGTGGATTTACTTTCTGCCCAACAATATCGCAGAGATGCAATGCTTTTTTCTTAAAATTATTTCTTAACCTTAATTTGGGGATGAGTCGCTCGCGTCCGTAGGCTTCGACCACCTAATCCTAGGCCCACCCTACACGTGTCCCCCGGGTGGTGCTAAACGAGCGACAAAGCCGAAACGACAGACTCGGCTCCTCGCCGTATGGTAGCGGCATAAAATCGACCACCCCTTAGTTCGCACCATGAGCCAAGAAGGTAAAGAAATGGCCCCAAGTTCCCGGCGCCCCTTTAATGGGGCAGGGGTGCGAAGAATCTCCGGGAGAAAAACCGGCGACGAGGTTCGCCACCCGTCACGTCCTGTCTCCCGGGGGGGGCGAAAAGTGGATTGCGGAGGCCCGTCTGGCCACGCTGAATGTATGTGGAGCAATGAATGATAAGATGGATGAAGTATGCGAAATAATGAATGATAGAGAAATAGATGTGTTATGTGTAAACGAGACGAAACGAAAGGGAAGAGATGTCACTGCACATGGCATGTATACCGCTTACTGGTCTGGAGTAGACGAGACCGAGCGGGCATGCCAAGGAGTCGGTGTCATCCTTTCAGAAAGAATGGGTCAATGTGTGAAAGAGTATGAATGTGTTAGCCCAAGGCTGCTGTGGATGCGAATGAAAGTGGGCTTAAAGAAGTTGTTTGTGCTAGGGGTGTACGCCCCAGACATGTCTAAGCCCACTTATATCCGTGAGCAGTTTTGGGACATGGTAAGGCTGGTGTTGATGAAATGTAAGGAAAATGAAAATATTATTATGTTAGGAGATTTTAATGGAAGGGTTGGGGTGAAGAGGTCTGGTTATGAAAGGATATTAGGAACGTTTGGCGATGAAATAATAAATGAGAATGGTGAAGACCTCCTCACCGTATGTGTGGAAAAGAATCTTTTTGTGGCGAACACTTTCTTTCGCCATAAGAGGATTCACATGTATACATGGGAAAGAGGGGATGATAGAAGCATGATAGATTTTATAATTGTGGATGAAAGAATGAGGAGCGCAGTGGTAGATACAAGGGTTTACCGGGGGTCCAACGTAGGGACGGATCATTACTTGGTCTTATGCCGAATTAATGGTCTATTCAGACGTTGGCGGCATCGGACATCGGTGTCTACCACTGCGTTACAGCGTATAAGAACAGAGAGGTTACAAGATGAAGGTGTGAAAGAGAAGTTCAAATGTAGATTGAGAGAAAATATAAGTGGTATGGCTGAATTGTGTATGAATGATTTAGACTTGGAGACTGTGTGATATAATGTCAAGAAAGGTTTAGTGGATGCAGCTACCGAAGTATGTGGTGTAATTAAGAGAACGAATGAAAGGAAAAATAACACGTTATGGTGGGATGATGAGGTACGGATGGAAGTTGAAGCAAAGAAGAAAGCATGGCTAGATTTACTAGCAACCAAGGCTAGTAATTCTAGCAGTATGAATGATGATATTGAAAGGAAAAAGGCAGTTTTTAGACACCTAAATAAGAGAGTAAAAGAAGTAGTTGAAAGGAAAAAGCAAGAAAGAACGGATAAGAATAATAATAATAATAATAATAATATTCCACAACTATCAAACAACGCCATCTAGTCCCAAGCTAAGCAGAGCTTGTGTTATGGGTACTAGACAACTGATAAACATACTTATATATTTCTAAATACATAAATATTATAGATAAAATACACCCAGACACAGAACAAATGATCGTGCTCATCACACAAACATTTGTCATGGGTGGGAATCGAACCCACGACCTCCGGCGTAGCAGTCATGATAGAAGAATATCGGATAACTTCCAGGAAAACATTAAAATGTTCTGGAAACTCGTAAGAACTACCAGGGGACATTCACAACAGCCTAGAATGAATGCTATACGAGACCAGAATGGCTGTATTCTGAATGACGAAGTTTTGAGTTTAAGGAGATGGAAGGAATACTTTGAAAGCGTGTTTAAGAGTGAAGAGTCGTCTGGAATAAGTGAAATAGAAATTCCGGGAGAAGTGGAGAGAGGTAGGGAGATAAGTGTAGATGAAATAATGAAAGCAATGAAAAGCATGAAAGCAGGTAAGGCAGCCGGATATGATAGAGTATCACTCGAAATGCTGAGGGCTGGTGAGGGTGTGGTTACAGGCCTGCTGCACACCTTGTTTAATTTATGTTGGGAACTGAAACGGGTACCAGAAGACTGGTGCAAAGCCGTTATAGTCCCAATATATAAGGGAAAGGGGTCGCAGCAGGACTGTAAAAACTACCGTGGTATCAGCTTGCTTAGCATTGTGGGTAAACTGTATGCTAAGGTGTTAATTGAAAGAGTTATGGAAGAAACTGATGGAAAAATTTGGGATGTGCAAGCTGGATTTAGAAAGGGGATGGGGTGTACGGATCAAGTCTTTTCCATGCGCATGATAGCGGAGAAGTTTTTGGCTAAAAACCAAATAGTTTTTTGTGCGTTCATGGACTTGGAAAAGGCTTATGACAGAGTGGACAGGAATGTGTTATGGCAAACACTGAACTCATTTGGATTGAGCGCTGGCTTGATACAGGCATTAAGATCTCTTTATAGGGACTCTAGTGCTTGTGTCAGGATCAACGGGGTCTACTCGGACTGGTTTGGCATTCATAAAGGTGTCAGACAGGGATGTGTGGCTTCCCCGTGGCTGTTTAACTTATTTATGGACAGTTGTTTGCAAACTTTGAAAGTTGAAGAATGTGTCTTGAGAATGGGTAAGTCAACCGTCAAATGCCTTTTGTACGCCGATGATCAAGTCATATTTGCATCGTCGGCGGCCGAGTTGCAAATGATGGTTACTTTAATGAATTGGTCATTGAAAGAAAGGGGTATGAAAGTGAACGCAAGTAAGACGAAAGTGATGGTTTTTGAAAGAGAAGAAAGTAAAACTTTATGTGAAATAAGAATAGAAGGGGAGTTGATTGAGCAAGTGGATGAGTTTGTATATTTGGGATGTTTATTTAGCAGGGATGGTAGATATGATAAGGATATAGAACGACGAGTGAACGCAGGAAATAGAGTGAATGGGGCTCTACACGCTATTATGAGGAGTCAGAATGTGTCAACTAAGGCACGTATGGCAATTCATAATGCTGTGTTAGTCCCTACTTTGATGTATGGTAGTGAAAGTTGGGTCTGGCAGAAGAAGCATGAGAGTAGAATAAATGCTGTAGAAATGCGTTCCTTAAGGAGTATGCTAGGGCTGAATCTGAATGATAGGGTGAGAAATAGTGTGATAAGAGAAAAGTATGGTTTACAAGA